TCTCCCGGCTGCCATAGGATTTGTAGGCATCTCTGGCAAAGCAGTGTGGTCTGAAATTTTGAAACCACACTGATTGAAATTCAGTGACTAACTGTTTTTTACCTGTTATATGACCTTGGGCAATTGAGTTTACCTCTCAGAACCCAGCCCTCTGCTGCCAACCATCAGTGACTAATGCCTCAGTCCTCCCCGCCCACCCCACAGGGTCTTGCTGGGTTGCCCAGGTTGGCCTCAAATTCCTGTGCTCAAAGTGATTCTCCTGCCTCAGCCTCCCAAGTAGCTAGAACTATACAGTCAGCTGCTGCTGTATCTGCTCATTTTTCTTACAGATAAAATAGAGCTGGGTGTGGTGATGCACAACCTGTAATCCCAGCACTCTGGAACCTGAGACCAGAGGATTGCTGCAGTTTGAGGCCAGCCTGAACTACATAGTGAGACTTTTCTTAAAAGCCAAAAGAAAAGAAAAGATATTGATGTCTAGAGAGAGTTGTAAAAATTTGAGAGAATCAGTATGTTCTCTCAGCTCAATTTCTTTCTGAGCTTTCCTATGACTACAGGCTGCAGACACACAGAAAAAGAATGGTTGTGAGCAATTACAACTGTCTTAGCAATTGATCTTACATTGCATAAAATTCATTGGTTGACTTGATCACATTCTTGAGCCAATCACTGTGGCTAGAGAGAATGCAGGGTTCTCATTGGCCAAGATGAACCACCCACACATTTCTAGTTAGAGGTATAGAGTTACTTAGCTCCATTGCAGCTTAGGAACTGGAAAGAAGACCAAGCTGGCTGCAAGGAAGGAAGGGTGGGTTATATGATGAGGGGGTGAGGCACCATGATTTCTACAGCAAATTCTTGTTGGACAGTGGTAGCAAATCGATGGCTGGCTGCTCTGAAAGCTGTATTGAAAGCTCTGAAAGGTTCACTATCATGGTCCTAGGTCTTGTTCTTTAGAAGTGCCTCACACTAATTTGGGCTCACTAAATAATGGTTGAATGAGTGAGCGAGTGAATGAATGAATAGAAAACCGCTGCTTCCTGGCAGCACAGTGTAGTAAAGTGAACTCTAGACTGGAAGTCAGGGTACCACTGTAGCTCACCGTCCTGGGTGGCTCCCAGTACTTCTCCAAGCCTGAGTCCGCCTGTCTGGGAAATGTGCACTGCAAGCAATGGCAGTCTTAGTGGCTGGAGGCTGGATTAAAATCTGGCGGCTCAGCACTCATCCCTTGGTGTGAGCGGTTGCTTCTGGATGTGAGTGGGCCTTTATGTTAAGTGAAGGGAGATGGAACAGGGAACCCTGGGCACTGAACAAGGAAGGCTGTTGGGACATATTTGGAGCTCAGGATCTTAGGCGCAAGCAGGCTCCTGTGTGGGTCCTACCTGTATCCTAATGGTTGTGCGACTTGAGACAAATCCTATGGCTGTGAGTCTCAGTTGCCTTGTCTATAGGGGGAAGCATATTGGTTGTCTTCGGGGGCTGGCTGTGAGCACTCCTGCAGGGTCTGCTTCTTTAACCATCCACACCGTTACATCCCTGTGGGCTCAGAGTGATGGATCGTTGCCGTAAGCAGACTTTTAAGGAATTTAACTTTGGCCCATGGTTTCTCCTGACAGCCCAGCCCAAGGCAGGCTCTGGGGTCTGTAAAATCCAGGCAGGGTGTTGGGCAGCCTTCTTCTCTCGTGTTGACACTGGCACCCCACTGGGGGCCCAGCCCTGTGGTCAGTGCTACCTTTCAGGGTGGCAGGCAAAGGGATTTAGTGCGCTCCTGGAAAATAGTCCTCACCTCCTCCACCATTAAGGGGGAGGTCCCTTTCCAGGAAACGCAGGGGAAGGTAACAAGCGGCCTTTTCACCAGCTCTCAAGAGAGAAAGTTGAATGACCAAGGGGTTGGCCCCAGCCTGCTCAGCATGGTCAAGGTGGTTTCCGTGGCCTCCCCTCTCAGCCCCAGCTTTCCTCTCTGCAAAGGAGCAGAGCTGCCTGACTTCTCTGGGCTCAGAGAGGAGGAGAAGGGGGAGGAGGTGGGGGGGAGTGCTGTACAAATGTGAAAGGATTCTTTGCTGGTTCCCTGGCAGAGATATTTTAAAAAATCAGCTTCAGAAGAAATCCTAAGGTATATACTCAGCTGTGTGTGTGTGTGCCAGAGAGGGAGGGGAAAGGTGAGGAGAGGGAGAGGGGGAAGCAGGGGGAGAGAAAGGAGAGCACCCAGTTGCTTAATTGATAGATTTCTAAGGTGCTCGGAACAAATGGTCAAGTTCAGTTTAGGAGAGAGAGCCCCACAAAGCTGAACCTGAGGAGCAGGCAAAGTCCAGGGCCAGGCCTGGCCTCTGGTGACGTTCCTTGCCCTGGCCTGGGAAGGACTTGGGGGAGGAAGAGTGTGGATTTGGGAGCAGGCCTGGCAGCCTTTGAGATCTCCGCTGCCACTTTATCAGGTCTCGGCCTCAGTCTTCCTGTCTGTACAGGACGTAACACAATAGCACTGGCGTCAGAAGGTGGTGGAGGCGGTGACCGTGTTAGCACCTGAAGGAAGTGTGCACCTCTGCTGTGCTGGGTGATAAACTTTCAGCTGTGCTCAGTACCGTATGGGAGCCCGGGGACTTTGCAGTACAGTGAACAAAAAAAACGTACCCAGTCTAAGAATAAATATATAAAAAGCAATCAAACATAAAATTTGCCTGTTTGCGTCAGCCCCATGCATCACTTCCTTCCGGAGGCTCCCTGGTCCGGTTGGGAGCCCCTCTAAGGTCCCTGCCCCCATCCTAGGCACGTGGTCTTATCCCAATCAGGGGAAGGGATTTCTCCAACTAGGCCAGGCCCCGCAAGGCTGAGGAGAGGGTGGCTCTGTCCCTGTCTGGTGAGCACCCTGTGCACAGGGACCCATGACCCAGACCCAAATCCTGGTGCCATTCTGGTCACAGCTGCTCTCTAATTCATCTTGGGGGAGGGGAAATGAGTTGCTGGGTGCTGGGTTCTGGTCAGGTGGTGGTGAATGTGTGTTGTGTCACTGTCCCTGGGGCCAAGAGTGACTGCAACCGCGTCCTTGCTGGAGTAGACAGCCATAATTATCATACAGGACAGAGTGGACCAGTTCTTGGCAAGACACTGAGGGGGGACCAGCCCTGGGATGCTCAGAGAGCCCCACAAATTTTCCCTGTGCTTCACAGCAGGCAGCTGCTCAGTCTCTGTATTAGCAGCTCGCTTTTAGGGGCCCCATCCTCACAAAATGTGCCCTTTTCTGACACTGGAATCTCCTGGCTGAGGAGGATGCTTGCGTGGTGTCCCCTCAGCTCACAGGACACCCTGGGGAACTGTGGGGTTGCCTTCCGTTTCTGGGACCCCAGCTCACGCTGTGGAATGAGGTGCGTTGCTTGCGCTGCCTGCATTGTTATTTCTGGCTCATTCTTTTTGGAATATTGACAAGATGTGTGACGTCATTCTCAGCATGTTTATCTTTCATTAAGTTCATTCGCAAGTTAGGTAGCTGTCCATATTCCGGGTTTTTTGTTTTTTTTTTTTTTATCATGTCCCGCAAATATTCTGTGCCCTCTAAACAAAAACTCCTTTTCCTCTGCCTTACCTCTGGTGGCCTCGATTCTAGTTTCTGTCTGTGTGAATTTATCTCATAAGAAGTGGAATCCTAAGGTGTTTGGTCTTCTGTGTCTGGCTTATTTCACTTAACACACGGTCTCTGGATTTATCCGAGTCGTAGCATGTATCAGAATTTCATTCCTTTTAATGAGAGGAGGCCAAGCAACTTAGTGAGACCCTGTCTCAAAAAAAAAAAAGAAAATTGCATCTCAAAAAAGAAAAAAATTGTGTTGCCCAGGTGATGCCCATCTAGGGAAAAATTCCAGTGGACTTGGGCATTTACATAAAAATCTTTTTCAGTCTAGTTTTTTTTTTTTTTTTTTGTCTTTTTCCTTTTTATCGGTACGAGGGATCAAACTCACGACTGCCTGCTTGCAAGGCAGGCGCTTATGCCGCTGAGCTAAATCCCCAGCCCCTTCAGTCTAGTTTTTAAAATGTCTTCGCAGTGCTGACCTTGCAGGACCTGGTGCATGCTAAGGAAGCACTCTGCCACTGAGCCACGTCCCCAGCCCTTCACTGTGCTGTGTGATATGGTGCGATGTTTCTTTTCATACTTTCTCAGAAACGTGGACAGGGTGAAAGTGCCCAGGAATCCCTTGCCGGTTTCAGGCGCCTCCAGCCTGCTTTCAGGCGCTGTCTGTGCAGTGTTCCATGTATTTGCAGATACATGTGAACGTGTATGAAAGTCTAGATTTCTTTTTTGCTTTTTCCCTGTTCTTTGTGTGTGCGTGTGCGCGTGGTGTGGGGAGAGTACTCAGGGCTTTGTGCTTGTTCACTGAGCTACATCCCTAGCAGTTTTTATTTTAATATTCTGAGATAAGATCTTGCTAAATTGCGCAGACTGGCCTCAAACTTGCAATCTTCCTGTCTCAGCCTCCCAAGTAGTGAGCATTACAGATGTGTGCCACGGTGCTTTTGCAGTTTTTTATTTTGTGCCACTTTCATTGTGTAATGAGTGGGGTCCTTTCGCTGAACAACTCAACAATCTTTCCATGTTGGTATTTGTAACACTAACCTATTGGTATATTTTTATGTATTTCACAGGATGGATATGTTGCATTTATTGTTTTTTTTTTTTTTTTTTTTTGTCTTTTTCGTTTTTATCGATACCAGGGATCGAACTCACGACTGCCTGCTTGCAAGGCAGGTGCTTATGCCGCTGAGCTAAATCCCCAGCCTCTGTTGCATTTATTGTTATTCAACACAGAACGTTGTTTCTGGTGTGTGTTCTCTGTGTGGACGCGATGTGTGGAGCTGGCCCTGGTCCAGGACTGTGTCTATCCTGCCCTATCGTCTCATGCCTCCGGACATCCGGCCTCTGTTTTCACACTCACGCAGGGCTCCCCAGGCTGCCTTCCAGGGGTCAGCTTCCTGTCCATCTGCCTTGCTGACCTTTGTGTCTCCCTTTGCAGGCCAAGAATAAGGAGACTGGTGCCTTGGCTGCTGCCAAAGTCATTGAGACCAAGAGTGAGGAGGAGCTGGAGGACTACATCGTGGAGATTGAGATCCTGGCCACCTGTGACCACCCCTACATCGTGAAACTCCTGGGAGCCTACTATTACGATGGGAAGCTGTGGGTAAGGGCACTGCCCCGTGGCCCTCAGCCCTCGGCCTGGTACTCCGGAACCAGCACGGTCTTCGGCTCCTCCTTGGTGTCTCTTTGAAGGCAAAGGCTGGTGCAGTGAGGGGCTCTGAGGCCCCTGCCCTTCCCTTGCCATGGAGTCTCCCCTTTCTGGGAAAATAGGGACAATGGTCCAGAGCAGGAGCAGATTCCAGAGCTCTAGCGTCCGCTCCTAAATTCCAGTGCTGTTGCTCATAAAGCTGGGTAATCATAAACCTACTCTAAGCCTGTCAGTTCCTTGGCTTCTCCACCTGTAAAATGGGGCTAATAATACAAACTGACCCTCTTCAATCCAAATATCTGAAATCTAAATCGCTCAAAATGTGAACAGTACTCAAAAGACTTTGGGGTTTCAGAGCATTTTGGATTTCCAATTCTCAGATGAGGACTATTCAGTTGGTAAAATATATGTAAATGGTTCAAAATCTGAAATCGTCTAAATCCAAAGTAGGAGGGCTGGGGATTTAGCTCAGTGGCGTAAGCGCCTGCCTGGCAAGTGTGAGGTTGTGAGTTCTATCCCCAGTACCAAAAACAAAACCAAAACAAACAAAAAACCCCAAATTAACATAAATCCAAAGTATTCCAAAGTCTGGGGGCTGGGGATTTAGCTCAGCGGCATAAGCGCCTGCCTTGCAAGCAGGCAGTCGTGAGTTCGATCCCCGGTACTGATAAAAACGAAAAAGACAAAAACAAAACAAAACAAAACAAAAAACAAAGTCTGAAGTGCTCCTGGTCCCAAGCATTTTGGGACAGGGTCACGCAGCCTGTAGTACCCAGCTCATGGAAGGTTGCAGGGATAATTGAGTTGTTTCCTGACAGGGGCTAAGATAGTGCTGGGCCCATGTAAGAGCTGGGTAGGTGCTGGCTCTTCTGTTATTTGTGGTGTTAGCATCTGTTCTGCAGCTGCTGCAGCACCAAAGAGGAGTCTGTTCTATAACCCTCCATTCTGTGCTCTTTTAAGCCAGTTTTATATGTAAAATGTGTGTGGGGGGTGCTGGGGATGGGCCCCATAGCTTTGCATGTGTTAAGCAAATGCTTTACCTCTGAGCTAGATCCCCCAGCCCAAATACCATATTTACATCCCCCCAAATCAGTACCACATTGAAGCAAATTAGTGCTCAGGGAGAGTCTCAAGTGAATTCTGGATGCAGTGGGAGAACATCAGAATCATGTGTTGATGTTTTGAGAAGGCTGCTGAGAGGCCCACAGTGGGGGACTGTCTCAGCTGTCGCTGGAGCTGCAAGGGCCCAGGGTCACTGTTATCACACTCAGCAGCAGCAGCAGTTAGTGGGGTTCAGAGCTGTGTGTGATCGGGAGGAGATTTAACTGTGGGCAGTGGACTCAGGGCTTTGTAAGTGCACTCACAACGCCAACTATACCCTGAGCTGTACCCCAGGCCAGGAAGGGGTATTTTAAGCATCAGATGTGCTATTGGGATGGTTTATTACCTATAGAGTTTCACTGTGTTTTAGTTACATTTTAGGGAACTGGTAGAGAGCTTAAAGTTGACATATTACTATTTTTTTCCCATTTTAAATCAGGGGAAATAGAGTCCTGGCTTTTTTGCCAGAAGTCCTTCTGTTCAGGAATGGAACTACTGTTGCTGTGTGGGGAAATCAGTTTCACTTAAGAAAAAGATTCTGGTGCTTCAGAAACCAGCGGAGCACTTACAAACCATTGTGAGGCTCTCTCACTGCACAGCCTCAGAGCTGAAGCCAGTACGAGGAAGCCAGTGGCCCCCGGGGTGGGGACTCAGCCCTGCTGGCTTGTGTTCATCAGTATTCCATGATTATAATGAAACTCCGGAGGCTGGGCACCTTATAAAGAAGAGAGCTCCTGCCTCTGGAGGCTCCAGGCCGTGCACCAGCTTGGACTCAGCTCTGGTGAGGACCTCATGGTGGACAGCTTCCTGGCAAGAGGGCGTGCTGCAGGTAGAGGTCACATTGCAGGACAGATGCCAGGAAGACCAGGGTCCCAGGGTACTTTGTCCCCTCCAGGGAAGCACCCCAAGGACCTGTGACCTACCACCAGTGCTCACTTTCTGAAGGTCACACTGTCTCCACCATGACCGCCAAGGATGAAGCTTCCAATCCGGAAAACTTACACCATGCAGGCACCCCCAGAGCTCTGTCCCCCAACACTTCCTGCTCAGAATGAGGCCATCTCTTGGAGCATCTCTGCAGGGAGCTTCTTAGGTTGCAGCGACTGTCAGCCTCAGCTCTCGAAGCCCTTCTCTGTCCGCTGTCTCCAAGACCGCAGGAGTAGAGCGGGGTAGGGAGAGTCACCAGGTGGTCACCCTTTTCCCCCGAGGAGGGGACAGAGGCACAGAGAGGGAGGCCCCTTGCTCAGGGACACACAGGCTGGGGCTGCTAAGACTGTGTTTTCTCTGTCCTAATTTACAGAGCTGCTTTTAAAAATGGTTTTTCCTCCTTCAAGAAATTACACAAATATGTATGTCCAGTCATCCAAGAAAAATGTAAATATACAGAAGAGTAAAGAATGATTAAAACCATCCAAGTATTTGCTCCTGTGATGACTCTGATGACAGGGAAAAAAAATATGTATGTATATATATATTTGGGGCTTTTTTGAGACAAGGTCTTGCTATTTAGCCCAAGTTGTCCTTGAACTCATGGGGATCCTTCTGCCTCAGCCTCCAAAGTGCAGAGATTATAGGTTTAGAACGAATTTTTCTAAACTATGTTTACCCATAAAATTTTAAAGAAATAAAATGACTATTTTGGTTACTTTATCCTACACTTTATTGTTTGAAATATATTTAGAACTCTTTTTTTTTTTTTTTTTGGTGGTGGTGGTGCCAGGGCTAGAATCCAGGACCTGGTTCACAGCTGGCTCACACCAGGCGAGATTTCTGCTACTACGTGAGGCCCTCAGCCTGCTAGAAGTTTTCCTGTCCCAGGGAAACACTTGCATCTTCAGTTTTTATTCTTCCAAAGAGCTCGGTCATCTTTCTGTGTATTCTTTATTGTTGGCCATTTTGGCTTCTGATTTTGTTATTATTGTTATAAATGACTCTATGATGGGCATCTCTGAATTTGCTGTATTTTTGTCTGGGATCCAGTTTATCAGCATATTTACCTTTTTGGGAGAGCTGTAGTAGAGATTGAACCCAGGATCTTTGCACTGAACTCCATCCCCCACCTTTTTAATTTTTTTATTTTTAATTGGCCTCTAACTCATGGTGATCCTCTTGCCTCAGCCTCCCAAGTGCTAGAATTACAGGCATGTGCCACCATACCTGGCCTTTTTCAATTTTTGAGACATGATCTGAGATGGTTAGGTCCAGTTTAAATACTTGAATAGTTTTTCTTTTTTGTATGTTCTCATCTTTCTCTGATGATAATATATGTAATATTTGTATAATCGCTTTAAAGAACAAACATTTCAAAAAGCAGCTCTATAAGTTAGACAGAGAAACTACACACAACAGTTAAATTGCAGAGTTGTCCAGGCTGGATTTGAGCTTGTGATTCTCCTGCCTCAGCCTCCCAGAGTGCTGGACTTATAGGCATGCATCACCATTCTCAGCTCAGTTTTTACTATTTTAAAATTTCTGTCTCCAAACTGGTCTCGCGCAGCCACTTTTGATGGGAACCAAAGAATCCTCCTGTGGGCCGCCTACCCATCCACCTGTTGGTCTGTTCATCCTCTTGTTCACTCATGTGTTTTGGGATTGCTGGTTATGCCCATTAAGAAAAATCTCACGTGTCTGTTCCTATTATTGCTCATGACTAGGCCCACATTCATTACTGTCGTGGGTTCAAAGCCAGCACCGTGAAGAGCTAGCATGTATCCAGGGCTCACTGTCTGCCGGGCCTTTGCTATGACTTCCACTGGCATTGTGTCATTTAATCTTCATTCTCTGAGATTGTTGCTTTGTCCTTGTCTTCTAGAGGCAAATGAGAAACAAAGAAGCCAAGTGTGTTGCCTCCAGGCCACACAGCTAGAAAGTGGTGGAGCTGGAGAACCAGATAGAGGGAAAGAATAACCCTTAATTGGCTTGTGACTGCTCGGTGGCCTTTGAGTAGATAACACCAGAATGTCCTGTTCCCAGATTGTCACTTTCTCATCCTGGTACCTTCCCATCCAAGGCTTTTGCTGTGGCCACAGCCGTTCCTTCCCCTCCTCCCTGGAGCTGCCCTCGTAGCCTCCCTTTGCTCTGTAGACTTTGAAAGGTGCTGTGTTCTCACTTTGGGGGATTCAGGTTCCTGATTGAGGTGGCACCGGAAGCCAGTGGCCATAGCGGGTGCCAAGGAGAAGGACAGCACAGGCACGGTGTGGAGGCCGAGAGGAGTGGCATGTCCAGGTGGTTGCTAGTCCTGAGAGAGATGGGTGGTAAAATAATTGTAGAAGGCCTGAATGCCAGGGCCAGGGGCATTGCTCAGCAGCAGAAGTGCCTGATTGACAAACCCAAGGTCTTGGGTTCAATTCCCGGTACCGAAAAGAAAAGAAAAGTGGCCCTGAATGCCAAGGTCAGAAGTTTGTCCTTGACTTTTCAAATTAATGGTCTTTGGAGCAGCATGACCTTGCCCAGGACCTTGTGAGTCATACACACAAGACTCGGGCTTTCCCCCAACCAGAAATTTGGAGGTGAGGCCCAGCAGTCTGCATCTTATGGAGCCTTCCAAGTGACTTTGATATTTGCCTAAATTTGAGAACCATTATTTGAGGTTACAGGGAGGACCCGCATGTTCTGTGTTCTAGAAAAAATTTACATTTGAGGGCTGAGTTAAGGCATTGTATCTGACCAGGAAGTGGTCAGGAGAGGTTGTGCTAGAAGGCTAAGGATTGGAATATCATCTGGTCAGGAAAAGCTTCAGAGGAAAGGCATTTGAACTGGGTCTTGCAGGATGCCTAAGAGTCCTTTAGAAAGATAAGAGAAGGAAGGGCAGTCTAGTGAGAGAGACAAGGGTGCACAAGTGTGGAAGGGGGCAG